TTATAGGTTAATCCTACATGTACACATCAATCTGTTGTTGTTGTTTTTTCATGAAATGTAATTGGTAAAATTGTAACCATCATGATACACCTACTAGTAGTCAATAAGAAAAGTAGATAAAACTTATTAAAATAGGTTAAAATGGAAGAGAGAAACAATTTGGTTTATAAAAAATAACAAAGACAAATAAATGGAAAAATAAAGAGGAAAAAAAGAAACATGTTTCAATTTTTGGATACTACTACATATATATGTATAGTTGTATAATAATAAAAATCATTTTCTATAAAGTTTATAATCATTAATGAATTTAGTGGTGTACAAATGTTTCATTGGTTAATACAAAAATAATAAATAAACATAGAAATTAGTCAATATCTAGTTTTTGACTAAAATATGTTTTCCTTTTTTCTCTTTCTTTTCGTTTTAATTTTAATTTTTTTTTTTTTTGAAGAGTAGTCACATCTCTGTTATATTGGAAATTGGGAATCAGTGTTAATTTAGTTAATTGCTTGAAAATTGATTATCAATAAAGTAAACTTTTGGGTTGTTGTTTTATTTATTTATTCATAAGACGTTTAACCATGTTTACATTGGAGATTATAAATAAAATACTTTTAAATAGTATACTATAAACCTAAACATAAATTACTTGGTATTATATTTATGAAAGCCTAATTGTTTTGAAATATATTTTTTGATTTTATGTGAATGCTGGTGGGCGGTCAATGCCCTCCCTCTCTACGAGAGGTAAAAGGTGTAAGTAAGTAAGGAATTGGAATGAAGCCTTTTGTAATAACTAGGCCAGAAGTAATTTTTACACAAATTGAAAATCAATTATTTTTCGTGTCTATAAGAATTTAATTATTCAGATTTAAAAGATTTAACCGGGATTTAATAAGCTTATATTGGCAATACAGATTTACAAATAGATAAACTGTGGATTGGATAAGCACATGACCTAGATTTGTTCAGTTCAGTTTTCGTGAAGCTAAGTACAGTTTGAATACTTGTTTCCGCATAGATCAGCGTTAACGTTTTCATCCGAACTTTTGGCCTTTCGATACATAAAATACAAGATTAAATGAATTCTTTTTTTAACTTTTCTGTAATGACCACGGCAAAGTTGATATTATTGAGTATGAAGACAATGGTTTTCATTTACATCTTCAGTAAAGATACAGCGTAGTGATCTGTTTTCGATTTCTGGAATGCCTGTCCCATTCATAATACGGTTGAACCATTGCAGTTTCGTAGGGAATATGAAGTGGCTTGATAAATCGTATTTGATTACTTCAACCAATCTGTTTTCCTCAGTAATATACAAAAGGAAAGATTTAAGAAATCGCTTTAAAATGAAAAATGTGCAATCCAATAAAACTAATCTACCCATAATGTTAGACAAAGAAATTTTAGAATTTCCACGTTACATTCATTCATACATTCGAATAAATTGACTTGCTAGTAAAGCGATTGATACTACACTGTCTGATATTTATTCTTGAATTCTGATCTAAACCTTTATTATAAGGATTTAAATAGAATAGGTCAATAATCAGGTAATAGTTCAACTGATCAATAGGAGACCTACAAAAATTCTTCAGAGTTTATTGACATTTGTTTTATATGAATTTGATCATTTTCATAATCATCTTATCTTATCATAAAGTTAATATAATTTGCCTTTCAGGCATCCTGTTTGATGTATTCTGAGGGCAATACATTGTCATATACAATAATCTTCCTCTACAACAATTAAGTATTGGTGAAGGCTTTTTAAACTATATGACTACCAATCGATGAATTGAAATCAATTCATATAGAAAATAGTTTTCATGGAATATCAACTTAAAGTAATCGGGATACTGTGATGTAATTCTCTCTTATCAGTTTACTTCTCAATTTCACCAACAATTTGTGGTCTCAGTTCACAATTCCAGTATCATGGTCAATGAGGAGGCGATAAACCAATACTTAGTGGAAGAAATGATCATTTAATTAGGTAGTGTATCAACATCAAACAATATAGACAATAATACAATGTTCAGAAAGTCAACATTGTTATATTAACTGATTAGTGATGTGACTCGTTATTTCATGCCTTAGTAATTGATACAACCAAGTGAAGATCAACAAACTTCAACCAAGGTGTATACCTCAGTATTTAGTACCTTATTCTATACTTAGTACTCACTCATAACCATGTCATTATAAGACAACTAATTTCTCTGTGATTAATCTGTTTCAAATAACTTGAAGATTACATTATTTTTACTAATACATGTGCGCAAACACCATCCATTATTCATCATATTAGTTAAATACGACGATGCAAGATATCGTGTAGGAAGATTTTTGAGTCTTTCAACAAATATAATATGGTAGTTTGAACAAGATACACCATATTTATAAATTAATGGTATCTCAAATATTTTTAGTCATCTAGAAGTTAGATATATGCAAACAAAACTGAAGGTTCTGCATTTGAACTCGGCGTGCAGGATCGTGTCAGTGCACTGCTGACGGGTTCAGTGACCAATCAACGTAAACTAATGCTTTACATATTTTACTCATTTACAACAAAATGTTTCAAGTACCTCAACTGTTTTGTTGATAACCATCTTCTAGTAATTCAAATTTTTTAATGCTCGATTTATATAATTTGCAATAAATAATCATGTTCAAGGAATCTTTCTGCAAACTAAATCAAGGACGAAACGGTCGTTTAATGCTCTCAGGTTTTCAATGATGATCTAACATTGATCACTTCATAATCTCAATCAAAACTCAATAGTCTTCACAGTCTAAATTTGTCATTATCATCCTAGCGTCCACAGAAAATTATCTATGAGTATCCTATGTTTTCCAAAAAACTTTTAAACAGTAGTCACAAGCTCGAGATCAACCTTTTAGTAACTTAACACTTTTGAATGAAATTTTAAACATTAAAACTCAACATTTCGACTGCAGTTTAGCCATAAAATCTTTGAAATATAACGTAGCAGACATTAATCACTCATATGTAACAATACGCTTCTTTGTATTTATACGTTAAGTTTGTTATACTTATATGAACAAAAGTAGTTAAGATAGCTTATTTAATCACTTTAATGTCTAAATTTCGTTATCGGTAAATGGGAATAAAATAGCCGTAGGCTTATTGTTTTTATCCCATTTTACTGTTCTAATAGGTAATAAAATAGTTTCTCCACACACAAATATCACATTCCTATATGTAAATGTGAGGAAACGTTTATTTTGATTCCAAAATCTATAAGAGGTTTGTGGCTAAACATAATTTCTTTTTATATAAAACTTTACAGTTCTAATGAAATATTCCTTGGGTCTTTATCGAAATGATAAAAATTTTCAATGTATTGAATGAAATGTTTAATTATTTAAAATCAGAAGTTATTCTTTATATATGTGGCAGTGAACTATTGAAGAAATGAAATGACACTTCGATGAAGAGAGGGTAATCAGAAAGCATTAAGGACTAGGTAAACTCGAGAGTAGATACCAATTAATAATTAGTTGGTATTATAATCGTCACCCTACAGAAAATTAATCATGCCCAGAATTAATTACACAAGTTCTACTGACCTTAATAGCATCATTTCGATCAAGGTTGTAGAAACATCATGCTGACTAGTGTCAATTATCACTGAATTTATATCCAAGACTTTTTGTTGAGAGCTTCTAGCACAATAAGCCCATAGATTTATATATTATTCAAAAGTAGACAAGTTATTTGATTTGACAGATAACGCTCTCATGGGAATGTTCACGGAAAGAGTATACCAACAAATCATTTAGATTTATTCGTGCGAATTCTGAATTATTCCAAAAAACATAAAATTAAAAAGTATTGAAGTGTGAAAGAGTCGTATAGCATCCGACTAATGAACAAATGTTCAGCTTCTTGATCTTCTCTTTCTCTTCTTTTACGCTACAATAGAACATGTTCACAAATAAGAAACAAGGAAACGTACACAACACAGCTAGCTCCATTGTAACAACGCAACAGGTCAAAATGATGTTGCTTCCCCAATTTGATAAATATAACCTTTTTTACTTAAGCTTTCTATCCGATTTTAAAACATTTTTTCCGGCAAATTCATATTTACTTAAAATATTACCATTTTCTTCCACTCTTGCTTACATAAAGCATCAGAGCAGATTAATCTGTAAACGGAAAAAATAACAACACAATCCCTGTATTCATCACGTTATGAGCAATTTTCTGATAGTTCGCCATCTCGCTTAAAAAAGAATAACAAATCTGTTGCTTGGGGATAGTAATTTCTTGTTCCTTTCTGTTCTTTATTCTACTTCAATATTTTAAGTTTATTATCCCTTTTTTGTGGATGGTTTCTCTTTGTTTACAATTTGAACATAAATACGTATATCAAAGCAGTAAGTATATAATTGAGATTATGAAGTGATCAATGTTAGATCATCATTGAAAACCTGAGAGCATTAAACGACCGTTTCGTCCTTGATTTAGTTTGCAGAAAGATTCCTTGAACATGATTATTTATTGCAAATTATATAAATCGAGCATTAAAAAATTTGAATTACTAGAAGATGGTTATCAACAAAACAGTTGAGGTACTTGAAACATTTTGTTGTAAATGAGTAAAATATATAAAGCGTTAGTTTACATTGACTGACTACCGAGTATTCGGTAATCTCATGTATTGGTCTTGGTCCTAAATAAACTGGGTCGATAGAGCCCCAATGTTGACCCAACTACCTGACTTAAGGGATTGCCGCCAATTTTCTGTAATTATCTAATATAAAAACGTAAATTTTCATGTTACTACTTTTATTATTATTATCCTATTATTGAACAACATAATAACTGATCAAATGAAAAGTTTGTGCTTTCGGTGTTCTTCCTTTATCCTACTCATGTCCCGTTATTTTCATGTCATGTTTATATATGCTTTCCCTGTATTTTAAAATCAAGACATTTTACCTTTTTTTCTTTATTTTAGGTAGTAAAATTGTTAATGATTATTGTAGTGTTATTTGCATCCTTCTGGCTACCATACCGCTCAATGGTTGTATACAATAGTTTTTCACTTCATGGATATCATGATCTATGGTTTCGCATGTTTTCACGTATTATGGCATTCTTAAATTCAGCTGTCAATCCAATTTTGTACAATGCTATGTCACGTAAATTTCGTCGTGCATTAAAACGTTTATTAAAATGTCATAAAGTAATATAAATAAAAATGCAGTTTCTACTAGAAAACTCAACAATACACTACATATATAACAAATGCATATTTTTTGAATAAATAAATATGATAAAATGTTGATATTTCAGTTTTAAATTGATTATCTAGAAAATTTAAAAACATTAAACAACTTTCTAATTCAAACGAATGACAAAATTTATTGGTGTGTCCATGATTCCAGGATAATATCGTTTTATCTCTGTTTCATGAACAAAGATGTTCATATCTATGTGAACTGATGATCTTTAAACGAAAATCTGTTAAGGATACAAATGAAGTTCAAACTTCAGCTAACCGAGAGAAGTCAATCATCATTATTGTAAAACCTGGTAACAATCTGTATTAATACACGTTGTTATTCTCCAAACTAGAACATAATGGAAGGGAATTATTAGAAATAGGAGTGATGATGCAGTTCCATTGGAGAAATTAAGATTGCAGAAGGAATTTGGGGTAGGGCTAGGTGGTTTTAAGAGATAAGTAGCACGTGTCATAACCACCCATGTGGATGTATACAAATAGACATTTAGTATTTTAAGCAGATAGTCTTAGGAACAATGATAATCACTACAACTAAGTATGTAGAAATGCTTTAGTGTATACCTCACACAAACCTTTTGTAAATGTCATTAGCCACTATTAGTCTGTTACATTGCATAAAGACTGATAAAATTGTTCCTTGAATGCTTTAGTTTTCTACTGACATCACCTTACCACTTGTTTGATTTCTTTGGGTAATAATTGATCTATATAAAACTAAGTATTTATGTCCATTCATTTGTGCACAGGCGTGCTTTTAATTATACCACTTTATATTTAGAAACCATGATGTTTTAGGTTGGCAACCCGTTCACTATCCAAGTTATGGATAAAAAATCTGATAAGAAAATTCAGGATTTAAAATATTATATCAATTTAGCCATTTTTTATAGAATTTAATTCAATTCGGAAAGACAGATAATTGATTTGTTGATAAAAGTTATAGGACAAACCAGAGAATTTATCGAACACCTTCTAACGATGAAAATGATCTCTTAGTTCTCAACTCTATACATGAAAATAGATGTGACTGTTTAAGATAAAGTTAACAAAAATACCCGTAAAGTTACTGTTTTATTAAATAACCTACAGAAACTTTTACTCTAAAGCTGTTTACATTTCAAACAGTTTTGCATCATAATTTACTTGATATTGTTTTACTTGAATCTTCCCATTGATGTTTTTGGACTGAAATTGATCAGTCTCTTATTGGCATATGTGCATACTGTGCGTGTGCTTCGATATTGCCTTAATTTACAAGCATTATAAGCAAAGATGGATAGTGGCTAGCAGTGGAATCCAGGACGCGCGTTTGAAGCGAACGGTACTGAGTTCGAGTCCCAGAGTGAACATCAACTCTGAGATGCAGGTACATCCAGCTGACGAGTCCCAAACAGGACGAAACGCGCGTCCTGAATTCCACTGCTAGCCACTATCCATCTTTGCTTATAATAGTTTTGCATCATGTTTATTATTATGTATCAATTATTTTATGTATATATAAGACTGTTATTCGCCACTCTGTTCACATTCATTCTATCACAGTTATACTGGTCTAACTGTATAAGTATAAATAATACGTGACAGATGCAACAAATATCAGTGGTACAATTACTATCTATGAGGTATCATAGGTGACTATACAATAAATGCATCCATGCATATAATTCGTCTGAAATTTAATTTTAAATGTAAAATTGGCTTAAGGAACTATTTAATTTCTTATTTTATTATTTTGTATTTGAAAACACAAGTTTAACAAAGCCAATATCTATTTTAGTTCATTCTTCAGTATAACTTTCACTAATGGGTGGTATTTATTTAGGATCCTCCAGATCGATAATTCCTCATAGCACAGGACAATTACAATGTTTTTAATTCAATTTTGCTTCATCTTGACTGCCATTTTTACAATATCCTTAAAGTAATTATGTGGCTTGAACATATTTATGAATGAATTTGATTCAACATGTTTACCTTCTATCACCGTGATAAGATAGTCATCTCTGCCTATCAGATTTCCGTCTACTAAAACTTTTGTCGATAATGTACATGGGAAATTGTCATCGTTCTATTTCTACGAATGTGTTAAGTTTCCCAAGATATTGATTTTCGGAGCCTTATTATGTCATCTTTTAACCAAGCAATTTAGAAATACTAGCTTCTAGTGAAGAAATTCGATATTCTCAATAAAAATTATTCTTACCCCATATATTATTTACCTGTTCATCTATTCATAAAATCCTTCTGGTAGCTAGAAATCTTGAAGGACCTTTACACAAACTACATACCGCATAACTAGGTGACTTACTTTTTATTGGTTATGTAAGAAACAGGAAGTGAATAGACTATACATTCTATTATGCACATATTTACAAAAAATTGGTCAATGTTACATATGGGTAATCGACAAGGGCGAATATCTGTGTGACAAGATAGTTGAGATGATTTGATTGTCTCATATTTTTTTAACCTCGCTCATGACTTATAGGCGTACAACCGAAAGGAGTGATTGAAATGATGTGCCCAAAAATCAGAATGAGGCCCCCACTCGATAAAAAATATAATAATTACCATAATTAACTGACGTTAACCGAAGTTTTATCAAAAATCAAGAGTTTCTGACTAGTTATTTTTAGCTTGTCTCAGGTTCCTCATCAAGTCTAACTCACTAATCCACACAAAGTTGAGTTCAAGAACTTGCTTTGGAAATCTGGTCCACCGGATGTTGATTGAGATGTTTGTCAGGAACGTGGTTATCATACAGAAGCAACGATCATAAAGATGATATATGGACAAAATTCATAAGTCCTAAAAAAGAACAAATTATTTGTAGTACTCATTTGCTCATTAGGGTTCTTAAGCCAATGTCGTTAAGGTGAATAAAATATCCACTAAACTAACGAAGTATGTTAAGCCTAATACCTAAACAGTTATCAAACCAATTTGAAAAAACACAACCGAAATAATTACTCGATGCTCTTTTGCTTAGCAATTTATAAGCCAGTGATAATTTTCACATTTGTGATAAGTGTTCTTAAAATTGAATGGTTAGTAAATGCGGACCAATTAAATGGTTACTCAAAAGATACACAGCGAATTTCTCTGAGAGAATGGGTTGAGATTTGTTTGTGTAGTAAAATGAACACCACAAATTAGAAAATCCTATTCTAGTTCATAAAGTTAATGATTATATTCGTTATAAATTTGTGTAAAAGTATAAGTAGACTTACGGCGTTTCATCAATTATTTTTATTCTCAAGCATATAAGAGATCTGATGAACGAGAATATGGATGGAGTAAAATAGCTCTATAATTGATCGATCACTGATTAGCGACCTAACTGATGTTGGTCACATCCTTCTTAGTCCTGATCAAATTCCATCGATCAAATCACAAAGTGGTCACTAGTATAAACGACTTGACATTGCGTACCTCTGGAAGTGTTATGGCCATTGTATAATGTCTTGTATTTCCATTCTTTTAACATTACTAATTATTTTATTTTTTGCGATAAGAAACTTATGGGATAATACTTCGAAATGATTGGTGTATTTATAGTATGAGCAATAAAATAATAGAAAACTGTGATTCACTCATCAACATAAACTCGCTCTTTGATAAAGTTCTGAGTAAGTGGTTCTGTATGTACTTTTTTGTTCACCCAAAACCTTCATCGTCAATAGATGTTTACTTATAGATGTGGAGTGCTATACAACCAACTATTAGCTAACGCCGTCATTGCTAGCTTTCATGTCATGTTTTCTTCCACAATATCCCTCTTCTCTTTTTAGACATATTCATCAATTTTGCAATTTTTTGCCCTGTAATGACTGCAAACTCTTAACTAAATTCCACACAGACAGACGGGAATCACCAAGTAAAATGTTGACTTCGGACTCTTATTCAGTGCAGCAGGTCCACTGCAAGATCTAAAGATCCAGGTTTTAGCCTATCTTCAAATTCTAAGTCCTCATTGCTGATTAGTCTCAAACTAGAACAAAATCATTGCGTCAACCTCCTTGCTTTTTAATTGCTGTAAAAATGACGTTACTTAATGTTAGTAATTAACTTATAATAAATTGATTGTCGATTATTTCCAGAACTTTAATAATGTTTTTTTATGACATTAACATAAAAGTTAAAATGCATTGATGAGGACCTATACAGAGGACACATTCTTGATTTAGAGTAAACAAATCTCGTCCAAAACATTTTTGTTTTATTACTCGAACTTTTCAGAATACCCTGAAATTTGTCAAACTATCCTCCAAAGAACACTTTGTCAACTTTTAACTATAAGTCAACGAGTATTTCGACAGAAAGGAGGTCATTCTTTAAAAATCAAAAAGTGAAAAGTGTTGTTACTAGCAGCATATCTATGATGGAAGTAAAAAAATTTAGAAAATTCCATCATCACTTCTAATTTATCTTATAATGCTCGACGAAAGCCCCCTCAAAAAATTAACTTACATGGTTTACCTTTGAGTGATAAATATTATCGAAAGACTTGTCAGTTACCAACGTTTGATGTCATTTTAGCGTCAAGAAATACAATTATGGTCGTTTATCAGTGAATATACCAATGCTTCAGAGTATTACCATTCACATGAGATTTTTTGCAGCCACTAGTGGATCGGTCAATATTAACGAAAGCGTTAGATCGCTATCGCCAGAAACATCCAGAGTTAGTCCATTTATTCTAGCTGCTTAAATCCGTTATAATATTTTAAGTGTGTTGTTATTCAAGGGTTTATAGCAATCTGCCATTCCAGTTGTTTGAAGAATAATGAGTAAATGGAGAGCAGCTAAATGTCATCTGTACTGTCTTTTGAAGTGTTCGGCCTATCACTTCCCCCCCCCATTTGGATCTCAACAACTTTTCTGTTTTTTCACTAACAGATGAGATTTTAGAGCACGTTTTTTGATGAAGTGAAACAACTGTGTAGTATTTGTAATC